GAGCCTCTCATTGCAGTGGCTTCTCGTGTTGAGGATCACCGGCCCTAGGGTGTGTGAACTCAGTAGCTGCAGCACATGGGGTCGATAGTTGAGGTTCCTGGGCTCTATAGCATGGGCTCAGTAGTTGTGGCGCATGGGCCTAGTTGTTCCATGGCATGTGAGAGATTCTTCCTGGACCAGGGATCGAACCCTTATCTGCTACATTGGCAGACAGATTCTTTACCATCGAGCCACCCGGGAAGTCCCTCTCTTCCTGTTTCTAGTCTCTCTTCTGCAACCTCCACTCCTGCATACTGCTTCCCAAATTTCTTTGGGAAGTAACTGCTAAAACATGGGTCAGATCACGTCACTCCCCAACTGCCTAAACAAGAGAGTCAAACTTGGCCTGAGCAAGATCCTCCTCCGACCAACATTTCTGCATCCTTTCCTTCTCTGGGTCTTCCACTGCTCAAAGACCACCACTATCCTCTTCTTACTTCAAGGTTTATTTCACATACCAAATCCTTCTTCTATCAGTCAACAATTGTCTATTGAGTGGCTACTATGCACCTATCTACTCAGTAGGTTTTTTGAATTGCTACTGTATCTAGGTATTGGGGATATGGCAGTGAATAAGACAGACAAAATTACCTGCTTGGTGGAGCTTAGTGGGAGAGGCAGACAACAGAACAAGTGCACAAATAAGAAAATGTTAGGTAAGTGTGTTGCAGAGAATTGGAACATATAGCGACTAGGTGGCTATTTTTGACTGGGTGGCTATTTCCATCTGAAATGGCCTTTCCGAGGAGGTGACATCTATACTGAGATCTAAATGACAGGAAGGGAGGGACCAGCTATTCAGAGTTTAAGGGGCAAAGCATTCTAAAGATAGGACCAGCCACTGTGAAGGCTTTCAGGCGAAATGAAGTCTTATTGAAGGGCCAGAAGAAGGCAGGGGTGAAGGGGGAGCCGTGGGAGATGAAGTTGGAGTCAGCTCACATATGCTTTCTAAGTCAGGGTGTAGAGTTGGAATTTGATTCTTTGGGCAATGGATGGGAAGCCACTGGAGGGCTTTAAGTGAGAGAGTGACATGATCTCACTTGTGTTTGAACAAGATCACTCTGGTTGCTGTGGGAACAACACATTGGGGGTGACAGAGCAGGGACCAGGTAGGTGCTTTGGTGGCAGTCTGGTTTTCCTTGAAGTACTTGCTCCCGACAAATAACAAATCAAAAGCTCCCCTTGTTTTTAAGCAAAATATTAAAATTCTTATTATCATCTAACAGGACCTGGATGGGCTGACCTCTCTCCAGCCTCCTGTACACCATCTTTGCCCCTGCTATTGAGCCTTGCTGACCTTCTGTCAGTTCTTCAAATGTAGCAGGCCACAGGACCTTTGGACTTGCTGTGGTTATATGTTATTTGCATGTGTGACAAAATATACATACCATAAAATTTACCATGTTAACCATTTAAAAGTATACAACTCAGTGGCATTAAGGATATTCACAATGTTGTCATCATCGCTCTCTAGCTCCAGAACTTTTTCATCATCTCAGGAGGAAACACTGGACTATTAAGCAGTCACCTCTCATTCCCTCCTGCCTCAGCCCCTGGGAGACCATAAATCTGCTGTCTCTATGGATTTGCCTGTTCTGGACAGTTCACAAAAATGAGTACAATATGTGGTATTTGTGTGGCTTCTTTCACTCAGTATAAAGTTTCCAAGATTCATTCATATGGTAGCATGTGTCAGTACTTCATTCCTTTTTATGACTGAATAATATTCCATTGCATGGATTTATCACATTTTGTTTATCCATTCCTTAGTTGATGGACATTTGTTTAGGTTGTCTCCACCCTTCAATTAATGTGACTAGTGCTGCTGTGAACACTCACGTACACGTTTTTGTTAGAATCCCTGCTTTCAATTCTTGGGGGTGTATACCTAGCAGTGAACTGCTACGTGATATGGTAGCTGTGGTCATATTTTGAGGAACAAGATCAGTGAATCTTTGACATGGATTAGTTTCCTGTGGCTGTGGTAACAAAGTACAATTAAAATAATTGCAGAAAATTTCTTTTCTCCCAGTTCTGAAGGCCAGAAGTCTGAAATCAAAGTGTCAGGAGGGCCAGGCTTCCTCTGAGACCAGGTATAATCCTTGTTTGCTTCTTCCTAGCTTCTAGTGGTGACAATCAATCCTTGGCACTTTTGGTTTGCAGCTACATCATTTCAATCAGTCTTATGGCCTTTACCCTGTGTGTGTTTGCGTCTTCACGTGGCCCTCTTCCTGGGTCTTATCTTCTTTTAAGGACACCAGTCATATTGGACTAAGGGCCACCTTACTCCAGTATGACCTCCTCTTAAATAATTACATCTGCAACAACACTATTTCCAAATAAAGTCACATTCTGAGGTAAAGGGGGTAAGGACTTCAACATATCGTTTTGGGGGACACAATTCAATCCATGGCAAACTGACAGACATTACTGTGCTTCTGAATCCCCTGGGGGATCTTGTTAACACAGGCTTGGTGTGAGGCCTGAGGTTGTGCATTTTCAATCAGCTCTCCCAGCTGCTACCAGTGCTGCTGGTTCACTGATATGGTGGCCAACCAGTCTGGGTTTTACCAATAAAACTCCAGAGTTAAAGGAAACCTTTCAGTCCTGGGAAAACTAGAATGTTTGTCACCCTATTATATCAAAGACCATATTTTGAGTAGCAAGGCTCTAGTTATGAACTATGGTGATTTACCCACTAATTACATTACTGAATACTCTTATCTTTATATTTAAATAAATTATTTTTTTGCTAGAATAGCCCAAGATTTCAAGAATCTTACCCCAGAAAGCTTCAGACAAACTGTGAAATGGTGACTTAGTTGAGTTCATGGGCGCCATATGTGAATATCATATATTAACTCATGAAATTATCTATGATGCTCAGCCTTGGCCCAGTTGGGTTGAAAACTGAGATTTTTGACCCCTTTACAGAGTAATTATACACGGGAAAGATCTTTTTGGATAAGAACACTCACTGGGTTTGAAGTCTTCAGTATCCTTTTCTTGTGCCGCCCAGGGACTGTGAAAGTGGAGGTGAAGGCGCCTTTCTGAGGGTGGGTTTGAGCATGTTGTGGTTTGAGCTCTTGATTCCCATTAGGACCACCTGAAAAACTTTGAAAACTGCCACGCCCTCACTCCAAATCAAATGATTCAGGCTACCTGGGATTGGGCACAGGCAGTCAAGGCTTTGTTGTTAGTGATTAAGCTCTCCAGGTGATGCAAATAAGCAACCAGAGTAGAAAATTCACTCTGCAAGATCTTCCTTTATAAGAGAAACATTGCCAAGCTGTCCCTAATCTTTTTTTCCACCTGTACCCATATTCCGCTCCACTCCCCTCCATGCCCACTTACCTCTCTTTCTCACGTTTGTGTCCTGTTTATACAATGACCTCACTGACCTGGGACCAAGTAGAACCCACTGGCGGTAATTATTACTCTTGCAACTGACCTTGGCCGGCTTTCTTCGAGCTTTATTGACTTTGTTTTTCATTCTTTCACAAAAGGCATCCTTAGCATCATCCACAATTAAGTTTGCCTGTGATATTGTCGCTGTTTTGACTGCAGAGTCTCTTAGGAATCCAGCGAAATCTCCCACAGAATCTGTACTGTGTGTTCCTCTGCAAACCAGCCACAGGAAATCTGGGTAGAGTGTACATTGCTTTTTTATTGGGATATAATTCATGTGCTATAAAATTCACCCTTTTAAAGTGTCCAATTCAGTGGTTTTTAGTATATTCATGAAATTATGCAGCCATCACCACAATATAATTCCAGAGCATTTTTGTCACTCCCCAAAGAAACCCCCTACTCATCGACAGTCCCTCCTCATTCCTGTTGCCCACCCCCCTGCAACTACTAATCTATTTCTGTCTCTATGGATCTGTCTATTCTGGACATTGCCTATAAATGGAACATTCAGTATGTGGTCTTTTGTGTCTGGCTTCTTTCACTTAGCATATTTTCAAGGCTCAAACATATTACAGCAAATATCAGTGCTTTGTTGTTTTTGTGTGTGTGTGTGTGACCAAATAATTTTCCATTGTATGGATGTGCTACATTATGTTCATCTATTCACAAGTGATGGACATTGGGGTGCTGTGAGCATTCATGGGCAGGCTTTTGTGTGGACATGTTTTCATTTCTCTTGGGAGCGGAACCACTGGGTCATATGGTAACTTTGTGTTTAACGTTTTGAGGAACTTCTGAATTGTTTTCCAACCTTATTTTTTGACCTTAAAACAGTTCTTTCCTGAGTGTGAGCTGGTCTGTACTTGTTAGGGTGGGGAATATGAGTCTCAGGGACTTTAAACATTTTTTTTTCCTGTTATACATTGTATGTGAAGAATGAATGGTACTTTCATATAGAACCTTGTCATTCGGCTTCATCATTTCAAAATGTCAAGAAAGCATGGACTGCCTGTGGTGGCAAGGATTGGGGGTGTCTGTCTGAGCTCCCGTGTTCCTAACCATCCCTCCAGCTGTATCTCCGGCCACCTGTCACAGTCTGTTACTGGCACAGACAAGGCCAGCTTGTTCCAAGGACACGACTACTGGGCCACTTCCATCTCAGATGGCCTGGTGGGCCGTCCAAATGTAGGAATCCGATTGCTTTCCGGGGATGGCAATAAACCAGGTGCAGACGATCCTGCCAATGGAAAGCCCTACTGCGTACAAAGCAGAAACTCTCCTACTCACTCCCGGAGGCCCTGCCCCACTCCTCTGCTGGCTGGCTGAGCCGGTGCGGACTCGCGCATGCGCAGTTTCCGCCGCTCGGTTCCTTAAGTGGGCGCTCTGCCGGGTGCGCGCTCAAGCACGCGCGCAGTCTCGCGTGCAGTCTCGCGTGCACGCGCGCACGGGGCCTCTAGCCGCACGCGCCCCTGCCCCGCCCCGCCCCGCCCCCTCCCCCCTCCCGTGCGCCCGCCCGCCTCCAGCCGCCGCCGCCGCCGGAGCTCTGTAGTATGGCATCGAGGAGAATGGAGACCAAACCTGTGATAACCTGTCTCAAAACCCTCCTCATCATCTACTCCTTCGTCTTCTGGGTGAGTGGCCACGCCGGACCGGCGGCTGCGCTGCCGTCCATCGGTCAGTGGAGTGATGCTCCGGGAAGAAAAGGGGGAGGAAAAAAGCCAAAGCAAAAATCAAATCTTGTGAGCCCTCCTTACGGAGACAGGCGCAGGGCTGGGGCTGTAGGATGGCAGGGTGCAGCCTTGGGGCTGCTCGGACCCTGCACCCCGCCCGGTGTAGGTTGCAAGGGGCTGCGTGGTGGCGATGACTGCAGGTTGTCGACCTTTCCAAAATATTTTAATGTATTGACTTGTTCTTTTAAGCTCGCGGGTTAGGGTCAGCCTCTGGGGAAAGTTGCGGTTTTAATCGGCTGTTTTCCTCTCTGGATCCCCTCCCCATCCTCCCTTACCAGCCGGTTCACGGCGCCTCTTGGCGCTAACCTGTGGCCGGCTGGGAGCAGGCGCGAGAGCGCAGGGTTTGATCCCAGATTCCCGGTTATCCCCGCGGGGCTGCGAGAGGCAGGCGCCGAGAGCCGTGAGCTGCTTGGCTGAGCAAGGGAGATCAAAGGCTCCCCCAAGCGCACTGAGAGTGGGTGGGCGCCGCCGCCGCGCCGAAACGCACGAAGGGAAGAGGGTCTTACATAAACCAGTGGCATCTTTGCGCTTTCTCGGAGACCCAGGTCTTAGGACCTTTTGCCCACTCGCCTGCACCCTTACACTCATCTTTCTGTCGTTGCGTGAACCCATTCCGCAGAGCCCCAGGAAAGGACCCCCACCACTTGGCGACAGCAATAGCGCCCCAACTCTACTCCCCATCTAACTGGTGCTGCTCTCAGTCCTTGAACCTCAATGCAGAAGGGTGACGTCAGCCCCTCAGCAGAAGCCTCTGCGCGATGGAGGAGTGGGGGGGCGGACTCCAGGCTTGTGCCTTACCTCATCCTGTCTGGCAATTCGTGGAATCAGTGCAGGGCTGACACTGCAGTGATTCATTTGAAGTAGGTGGTACCTAAAGACCATTCCCCGTTATTTCTCTATCCGTGTAGATGACTCCCTTCTCCCCAAGTTTTCCTTTCCTGAACCAAGCCACAGCCACCCTACAGGAGAGTGAATGTCACTACCCACCCCCCCCCCCCAATAATCTGGGTCACTTCAGCTTTCAAGGCAGTCGTTTTGAAACCTGAGGCTTTGCAGAAAAAGCCAATCCCCGTCTTTGGTGGTTTTTCTCTTTGCCTTTCCCCCCCGCTCCCCCAATTAGCCCTAATTTTGGTTTGAAAGTGGGGCACAGTGCTTTATGAGGTACTCAGACTCGGCCTGATGGTGAAACAGGCTGTTTGTAATGACCAAGGCAGGAACTGAGATTTATTAAGGATAAAAAAAAAAAATTCCTAATGCCCCCCCCCCGCCCCCCGCGGACATTCCTTGTCATTGGCGATTCTTCAGGTCGGGAAACTGGACTCTGGGGATCAGGCATACCAAGAACTCTGCAATGAGATAAGATAGATTAACTGGTATATCACACAGGCAACCACAGAAATGGACTTTACTTGGGCTGAAATTTCAGTAGTGGAATTGTGAGCTCTGCCCAGATCCTATATTATGTTCTTCTTGGAAAAGCAAGAATGCATGCTGGTTGCTGAAACTTCCCAGTAAGCTTTCCTGGTAACTGGTTTAGCTTTTTTGTTTGTTTGTTTCATTATATCTCTTTGCGTTTGGCCCTTCCTATTTACTTGACTTCCTATTTGTTCCTGGAGTAAATCATATGGGTAATTATTTTTAGCTTCCTGAAAAATCTTCCAGCATCTCTGCTTGTTGGTAAAGAAGGGAGCCTTCTAGAGGAAGACTTTTCATGGGAGCTTTTTAACTCTTCTTGTTTACTCCCTCCCCTCCCCAACCTCCTGAATCCAATTACTTAATGCACCCTAAGACATCTTAAGCACAACATTTTATGCCCTCTGAAGTTCCTTGATGCCTGCATTTTCATTTTTTTCCTACTTTCAAGATTTCTGTAGTCTCTTAAATGTTTACCTGATGAATTTAATAGTTTAAATAGCATTCAATAATCACTTCATACTTCACAACCAACGAATGAGATCTCTCCAGATGCAAGGGTATTTTTAAATGAGACATTTTCGTGAATAAACCATGGTACAAATGCTGTGTTTTCCATTATACCTTAAATGGCAAGGAAAAAAAAACAGCTTTATTGAGATCTAATTCACATACTTCACCCCTTTTAAAGTGTACAAATTAGTGGTTTTTAGTGTATTCACAGATACGTGTAACCATCACCCCAGTCAATTTTAGAACATTTTCATTACCTGAAAAAGAAACCCCATACCTTTTAGCTATCATTCTCTTTTCTGCTCTCAATAACCCTCACCACCCTAACCAGTCACTAACCTACTTTTTGTATAGATTTCCCTTTTCTGGACATTTCATCTAAATGAAATCATATAGTATGTGGTCTTTTGTGAATGGCTTCTTTTGCTTAGCATAATGTTCTCATTCATGTTTATTCCTTTTAATGGCCAAGTAATACTCCACTGCATGCTTTTATACACTGTATTGCATTTTGTTCATTCATTTGTCCACTGATAGACATTTGGGTTATTTCTATCTTATGGCTATTATGAGTCAGTGCTGTAAACATTTATGTGCAAGTTTTTGTGTGAACATATGTCTTCGTTTCTCTTGGTTATACACCTAGGAGTGGATTTGCTGGGTCATATGGTAACTTTGATTAATCATTTGAAGACCTGCCAGACTGTTTACCAAAGTGACTGCACCATTTTACATTCCTTCCAGCAGTGTATGAGTACTGTGATTTAAAGTATTTCTTTACTTTCTTGCCAACATTTGTTATTATCTGACTTTTAAAATTCTAGCCATGTTAGTAGATATCTCATTGTGGTTTTGATTTGAATTTCCTTGATGAGCAGTGATAGCCAGAATCTTTTTATGTACTTATTGGTCATTTGTATATCTTCCTTTAAGAAATGTCTGTTTATGTCTTTTGCCCAATTATTATTTCAGTTATTTTTTAAACATTGTTGTATGTGTTGTATGTGTCCTTTATATATTCTTGATTCAAGTCTCTTATCAGATACATCATTTGCAAATATTTTCTCCTGTTGTTCAGTTGCCCAGTCATGTCCAATTATTCGTGACCCCATGGACTGCAGCGCGCCAGGTCTCCCTGATTCTATGGGTTGTTTATTCACTTTTCTTGGTGGTGTCCCTTGACGTACAAAGGTTTTTTTTTTTATTTTGATAAATACAATCTACCTATTTTTTTGTTGCTTGTGCTTTTAGTATATTTAAGAATTTTTCACCAAATGAAGAGTTTATGAAGAAAATACTGTCTATAAGAGTGATTTCTCTGTTCAGTAAATGCAGTTGATAAATGTATCTTTCTCTGGCATGTAGTAGGTACTCAAATACTTGTCAAAACTTCTGGGATTATGTTAGGTAATTTACAAGAAGGGTGATCTTGGTGTTCTTTTAAGTGGAAGATGGACAAAAGATTAGGCAGAATTTTTTCCTTCCTGTTTTCTTTGAATCATCTTAATGTGACTGCTTCTCTTTCCATACCTCGGATTTAGGACTAGAAGACATTTGAGCTTAAAACAGTGGTAGACCAGTAGCATCAAGAGATGGATGTACCTACAGATATGAGAGATCTCATATATGCATTAATATACTCTATTGGTATTTTCTTTCTGACTTACTTTAGAAAGGTGGTAATGATGAGCCTATATGCGAGACAGCAAAAGAGACACAGATGTAAAGAACAGACTTTTGGACTCTGTGGGAGAAGGCGAGGGTGGGATGATTTGAGAGAGTAGCATTGAAACATGTATATTATCATATATGAAACAGATCACCAGTCCAGGTTCGATGCATGAGACAGGGCGCTCAGGGCTGGTGCACTGGGATGATCCAGAGGGATGGGATGGGGAGGGAGGTGGGAGGGAGGGTCATGATGGGGAACACATGTATACCCATGGCTGATTCATGTCAATGTATGGCAAAAACCACTACAATATTGTAAAGTAATTGGCCTTCAATTAAAATAAATAAAAAAAGAAAGATCTTATTTTATCTGGCCTCCTCTTCTATCTATAGTCACTCTCCCTCTCTGAGATGTTCCTCTAAAGCAGTGGTTCTCAGCAGCAAACAGTTTTGCCTCTCCCCCCACCAGTATTGGGCCATGTCTGCAGACATATTTTGGTCACCGCTGGGAGTGGGGTGCTACTGGTATCTCGTTGGTAGAGGTCACAGGTGCTGCTCAGCATAGTATAAGGCACAGGACAACCCTTCACAAGAAAGAATTATCTGGCTCAAAATGTCAACGGGGCCCACAACCTCTGCACTAGTGGACTTTACATAGTAATAAGTTAATATGTAGAAAAAGAGAATCTTATGCAAAACTCCCTGTATTTACTATTGTTTGGAACCACCATACCCAAGCACTCACAACACAATCACAAGTAAGAAGAGAAACATTCTCCTTTTTATTTGGAGATAAAGGTAGGTGGTCCTTTATGTAATAGTATTGAAATAGATGGGATGATCCTCCAGTTAAATAGTACCACCTGAATGTTAGGTAAGTGGCTCCATTATGGTCCTTGATTTGTATGTTTCATTTTCAGAGGAGGAAAAAACACACCTAGTAGTAAGTTATCCTGAGCTTTGAAACTAGCAAACAGTGCCTGACACATAGAAGGTTTACTCTGAAAGTATTTAACAAGTGAATGAATAAATGAAATTTTATTAACTACTCTTGGGCTCATGTATTTATTTCAACTCACCTCAATTGGGAGGGTTTTTAAAAGTGATATTTTCTGTCTACCTGTGGTGGTTTAAACGTGTTCCTGACAGTGATGTGTGAAAAGATGGAGTAGAGAACGTTACGAGAGTTGATCTTCTAATGATAGTTCGGTTATTATATTTTTATGATCAGCTAGTTTGCCAGCCACTGTACTTATCTAAAATTTTAATTGGAATTTAATTTGTTAAGCTTGAATAAAAACGAT